AAGGTTTGGAACATGGAAAGAAATGAAAATATGTAAGAGAAGTATATTCCCTAGAGACTCAAAGTCCACATCTTTCCAGAATCCTTCCAGTCCATGCTCTACAAAAGAGGATTAAGGGGTACCTACTCGTGTAGCAACAATAATAACTTCTTTCTCAGGATCGACTTTTCCGGAGGAATTGATGGGCTGCAAGGTGCTCCACACATTGTAATCAAGAAGAGGATCACATACAATCTCTACGAAGTAGAAAAAACATTGCTTGAGTTGAGACTACAGCAGTGAGAAGTGAGAAATGAGCTTTTTGTTCAGCTGTAGCTCATCAGTAGCTCTAGCAGAGGAGCAAACTTCTGCTCAGCAGAGGTGAAGTCCTGGCCCCGAGAAAGTCCCTGGCAAAACATTCACTGGGACCAGAATTTCAATTCTTGTACACACAGTCTAATGGAGCAGTAATCTCGGAGCAGGTTATGTAGCAGATATTAAGTACCTTTCTCAGCCAGCATCAATTCTACATATTATTTTCTAAACCGATGACAAACATAGCCCAAAATTCCTTACCGCTTGAATAGTTTATTTTGAAAAGGCTCAGTTGACAAGCAAGACTTTAGGGAAACTCTAAAATTTTCTCTCTTTTGCACAACTCTGTTCCACTGGGATTTTTACTACCAGCCTTAGCCCACGCCATGACAAGGAAAGAGGAATCTGCTCACCTGGATTAATGCTGAAGGTGCTTTGGAGGGAGCTGCGTCTCATGCAGGTAACCGTGCTGGTGACAGCGTGCATGTGGGAAAAAAGCTGCATGGCACAGAGAGGGTACTCGGGGACAGATCCATCATGAGGGACATTATGGTCTTGATAACACTGGATGGAAATAAAAATCATTACAAAACTTAGCCTTTCAGTAACAGCACTTTGTACCGCATATAAAATTGTACCACACATATTTAATGTAGATTTCAACATCCAAGCTCAGAGAAAACAAAACTGCCCCCTTTCCTGAACCGTGTAGCAGTTCCCATCTCCCACTTGTTGAGAAAGTGCAGTACCTGCTTTATAACTTGAGTCTCATTGGCATCTTCAAGGAGAAAAATAGGGAAGTCAAAATCTTCATATGAAAGCCCACTCCCCACAGGATTCCACACAGTCTTATTGCAGTGTGCAAACTGAGGGCCATAATCTTTGGAATAGACACCTGGAAACAGAAAAAAAATGGGTAAATCTGAGCCTGCAAGAGAATAACAGACTGCAGGAGAGGTAGGGCCTGCTGAGAAAATAGCAGCAAATGCAGAATGAGCACCATTACGGGCTGAGGAACCAGCTGACAAAAGCTTGGAGAGATGAAGCTGGTCACTGCATGCGGCAGAGTGGCAGAGGCAGAGCAGCGTGCCACGCAGAGAGAACGAGAAACATGCACGCTCAAAGCCATTCCATGCCAGGAGGCTGGCACGAGCACGCAGTGAGCATTTATCACATGCTGAGAGAGCGGAGGAGGCACACAGAGAAACATTATACTTCAAAAGGAGGAACATACAAACCCGCGTTTTCTGAGCTCATCATGTGCTGGAAGTACCCCTAAGGCATCCGTAATGTGCCCATCATTTTAACACCTAGATACTGTGCAAACAGCACGAAGGCAGAGACATGACAAATGCCAGCACACTCCTCTCACGAGCATGCACAGCATCCTTCACAGCTTAAAGCTTTGTGCAAACTACAGAAGGTGTAGTAATTTCTGCCCTCAAAGCGCACTACAGTAAATTTGCTCCATGAAAAAATAGTGAAATGAAAACCTAAGCAAAACCACCAGGGGAATTCAGGGAGGCAGAATATAATTTTAAAATGTAGCGACTGGCCCAGACAGAGAGGTTAACACACGCTCCACTCAATCTATGCAAACACAAGACACTTTAATGATCATGTGTGGACAAAGTACAAGTTTCATGTGTTTAAAAAAAAAAAAGAAGTTACAACAACCCTTGGTCAGGTTTAACACTTCAATGAGTTAATGCTGGTTTAGTCAGTTTATCTAACAGCCTTCTTCCAAGCACCTGTCCCAGCCCTTGTTGGGAAACAATGAGATTCCAGCTCAGATCAACCACTTTGAAAGAACATTTTGAGCCTGTTATCTTAAACACCATTTTGACATTAAAAGCGTAACAGCAATTTCAGCTACCCTTTGCACTTCTTGTTGGGACTGAACAATGTAAAGGCACCATTTCTGTTCCTCCTAACAAAGGTAAAGACTTAACATTTCCTTACCAAACCCATCATTGGGGCACTTCAAACCAGGAGAGAATCCCTGGGGAGGACTAGGTTTGGCAATGGCCACAGCAAGGCCTGACACTCGTGAGGTTCCCTTCAGCTGCAGCATCACCTTCCTGGAAGAGGAAAAATACGAGTGAAATTTTGAATTCATTAATGAAGAGTTACAATCCAAGACATGCTAATGCTGATGTATTACAGTTGAGCATGTGATGACGCTTTTGATGGAAATAACCGTGTCCTATTTTCTTCTCAGAACTGTGTAAGATTATGCATACAGCAACAAGCAGAAAGTTTCAGCCACTTCCTCCCTGCTCTTCCCAGAAAGAGATGTGACCAATCTTAATGGTGTTGCTTAATGAACATTAATAACTGCTACAGTAGTGAACATGGCATGAGAATTTACAGACAGCAGAGCTCTTCTAACAGCAAAACAGCCCACTTAAGAAGAAATAAAACCAAGCACTAAACCACAGTAAACCCACAAATGTTTCAACCTCGCTATACTTCAGTGCAGCCAGGGCTGATTCTGCCACCTGTCACTTGAAAAACGACATTTTCATCACCAGATTAGGGACTCATATTGGTCTTCTGGGCTCCAGTCGCCCTGGGAAGACAACAACTGATGATGACTGACCTGTTGAAGAGGTTCCCATCCAGCAGAATCATGTAGGGTGGGTGTGGGCCATCAGCAAGCACCCAGTTCAGGTCCTCCTCCTTCTCAACCACGTGGATCACCCCCGTGTCTCCGCTGATGGAAGCTGTGGGGAGAGAGTGTGCCCTTCATGTTTCACAGTGATTTACTTCATTCTCGCTCCCAAACCACCCCGGAACAGCAGGGTGGTAAGTTACTGAGGGCTTTACGGAAGAACAGCTCATGGGATTAGAGAGCTGGAGGAAGCGACTTGGTGAAGTGGCACCACTTAGCTAAGAGCAGGACAGAAAAAGGAACTGTGGCTTTTAGGAGGGAAAGAAAAAAGCTGAATGGCATAGATTAGGAAATAAGCACTTATGCTTTGAAAGCATCTTTAGTTTAATCACATCAAAGCACTTAAAGACCTTCAGCTAACTTAGTGCTACGAGTCTGTGACTGAAGAGGATAAGGAAGGAAACAGGCCCTGAGACAGAACTGCACTCGGAGGAGCCATGACCTGCCTCAAGGACTACAGTCGAAGAAGCAGTTCAGTGCTTTAAGAGTAAAGATTGCACATTCAGAAACTGGGAGCTGAAAGACAGCTCAGCACGAGGCCTGGAGGAGCACAAGGGGCAAAAGATTGTGACAACAAAGGGGATTAGCAATAAAGCGGGTCAGCTGCTTGGCATTTCACCTCGTCCCAAAGAAAACGGGCAACAGACAAAGCACTTTCATAAGAAGCTACTGATAAAAACAAGCACAACCCTCACAGTTAGTAACTGGTGTCATTGTTGGAAACTGCCTGTGACTGGGAAGGCAGGACTGCATGGGGCTGTCTGCCTGAAGGCTAGGCTCACACAGAGGGTAGAAGAGGAGTCAGAGAACCTTGTACCCTCAGTTATCTAACAGACCAAACGCATCTGTGCTGCCCTGTAGTGGCAGCTGACAACCTCCGCTGCAGGGCGTGGCTCACTGTGGAAGCAAAACTGAATTGGAAACCAGCAAAACACTGACTCACACTGACTTCAGCCTGGAATACTGCTTGAGTGGGGTTCCCTTACCTATCGTCTAATTTAAACACTCATGCAGTCCTGCCTCTCTCATTTCAATATAGCAAAAAATCTTACAAAATTAACAAGCGCTGCACAAACAGCTCAACCAAACCCTCTGCTCCCTTCCAACATCACCTGCCCACTTCTTTGCTCCCCGCTCCCTCTCTCTCGTACCTTGTTAACCTCAACGCATTCTGCAACACTCACAGCTTCGCCCTGTACCAAGCTGGGGCTTCACTTTGTCCTGTGTGTGCACTGACTGCACAAGCTCAAAATGCTGCTCTCTACCATGGCAGGGATTTTTGAGGTCTGCAGGAACACAGTCTCTCTAAAGTCTTCACCCCTCAAATTAGCAAAAACAGGTCAGCATATTGAGCATTACTGGCACAGGATTGGAGAAGGGCAAACAGCGCTGAGAACAAGGGCAATACTGATGTAGGCAACAGCTGTACTCACACTGGCAGCCGATCTGGTGGGTGGCGTTCAGGAGGCGAACGCACGGTGCCGTTTTGTTCAGGGGGATGTAGATCTTCCTCTCAACAGAGTTCCCCTGGCAGCAGCCTGGGTAGAAGACACAGCTTCACCTCAGAGGGGGAACAAACCAGGGGCTCCCCACACCTCAAAAGGCATCTCCCACACTCAGGGCGGAAAGACGAGCCCCTCCGCAGCTCAGAGCGGGCCAGGCGAGGGCTCCTAGCACCGCCATCTCAAAGGGGGCCAGGCGAGGCCCTCCCTACCTCCGCGTCAGTCGCGGAGCGGCCCCAAACCGGGGTGGGGTCTGCCGTGTCCCGCCCCGCCAAGTCCCTCTCCCAGCCAGCCTCACCCACTGCCAGCACGGCGCGAAGCAGCCCC